TGAGATCCTCCGTGGGTTGAGGCTGGTACTTCAAGGAAGGTTGCCTCTTGGAATTGGCTGTGCTAAAAAGCATGCAGTGTACTTGGCATGCTTTTACTTGCTATTATCTTTCTGACTGTCACTGTATCATGGGCTTTCAGGGGCCCAGAAAGCATCTGGTGTCCTTGACACCGCTGTCACTGCCATTACTGAAATCTTTTAATTATTCTAGTATGCAGGAAGAGTTCTCAGGAACTCAATCACCTGAGACAACTTAGCCTCCAGATGGATCACTATTAATGAAAGCCATTTTAGATGCAGCAAGAAGTAGTTAAGCAGAATTAATGCTGGAAAGTCCAGGGAATAACGGATTTCTAGAAGAGAGACATAGATGAGTAAGTATAGATAGAAGAAGGGTTTCTTGGTATTCATTACAATTCATGGATAAATTGGCAAGATCAAGACCACCTTGGTGTCTTTTGACAAAAAATCAACAAGAGAGCATTAAAAGGCAACTACAGACTGTATTTGAAAGTTGGAAAAGATAGCTGGGAAAGATGGTTACATAGATCCCTAGCATGGGATGATTTTTAGGATCTATGGAATTAAAAAATAACTTAGAAGCCCTATGGCCCACCACAAATGAGCAAGGAATATTATCAAATAGTAAAGTTAAAAATGTAATATCAGGCACAGCTGATATTGAAAGTACTTGGTGGTTTAAGGTCATTCTGACCTGAAATCACAAAGCTAAGCAGAATTCTGAGTGCGTAATAAAAACTGGCAGCAGAAACCACAGTATCATAAAGCAGGAATTTGCTGGCTGGTACCAAGTTGATAAGATAAGGAAATGTGTTTTGGCTATACATGATGGTTGGCAAAACTGTTTCACTCATATCTCTGGAATTGAAAGTCTTAGAAAGTGATTAACTGCAGAACAGTCATGCTGTTAGTGAAAATTTGCAATCTTTGCTGTATATATCTCAAACCTTGCAGCTGCAAAAATACACTCAGACCTTCACCAAGCTCTTGTATGTCTGTCTGTTTGTTACTCGCCGCATCCTTGCCCACTCTCTCGAGGACATATCTCTGGAATTGAAAATCTTAGAAAGTGATTAACTGCAGAACAGTCATGCTGTTAGTGAAAATTTGCAATCTTTGCTGTATATATCTCAAACCTTGCAGCTGCAAAAATACACTCAGACCTTCACCAAGCTCTTGTATGTCTGTCTGTTTGTTACTCGCCGAATCCTTGCCCACTCTCTCGAGGACCCGGTTCCTGTCGGATTGAACTGCTCCAGTCTGGGCTGGTCCGTCGCAGTTTGTGTTCTCTAATTTTGTGTTTCCTGATTATACCTTTGTTTATTTTCTTTCGTTGCCCCTGGAGTATAGTTGTTTTTCTCTCCACTCTCTGGGTAAAGTATTCTGAGCTGGGAATTTTTCTGGGTAAAGTATTCCGAGCTGGCATCTATTGTCATATAGAACTGGAAATACCTTGGTCCAGGCTCTTCTGGCTTTCATAGTTTGCATTGATAAGACAGCTGTAATTCTGATGGGCTTTCCTTGTTTTTCTTTTG